ATACAGATATACGCCAGCAATGCCCCAAAAATCTTGCATTTATTAATAACTAGTGACCTGCCCCGGTTTCGCACGGGTGCAAAGTATTATACATACAAACCTTCCTCTTGAAACACTCTATCTAGTAAAAAAAACGCATCAAGATCCGTTGCGTAGTTTTAAAGATCTAAGGGTACATAGGGTCAGACAGACTTTGTTTTATACTATGTAGTGAATAGTGATATACAAGAGGAAATTTAAAAAAAGTTTTTATTGCTTACCGCATACATTTTTACACTGCTTCCTCATTTATTTAAGCACCTTTGCGCCCTCTTGACTTAACAACTTCCGCGAGTAAAAGCGCGAGATGCGGATGTTTTAATCAAATTCAGTTTGTTCGTAACTAGTTCCTCGGGAAAGTCTGTTGGATACGTTCATTTCTTTCTAAAGTGGTACGAGTTGAATGTGGTACCTTACGAGCCTATATATATAATTTTTTTGATGTAAAATTTGACGATTCATCAGAACGCGCAAGCGTCTATTTGAATAAATATATTTTTGATTTGATTTGATTTGAAACGTTAATGGCTTTGAGTAGTTAACAAATCCCTTAATCGAAAATACTCGTAGCGTAAGATGTTCTTTGAAAGTGCACAAAAATTAAAATTGCTCCATTTCGTGATTCGTCGTTCATGAAAGGATAAAAATTATAAATGGAAACAATACTGTAATAATACAGAGGCATTACAGAAGATGTTTACTTATTTACGTAAAACCACGTTGCATGATATCAAAATGTAATAAGCCCCAAGCTAATTTAAGAAATGGTGCGAAGCAATCTGCTTCTGTTATCCATATCCAGTTTCGTCTTAAATGTATATATCGATAAACATTTAAGACGAAAGTCAATACTATTATAGTATATAATTACAATGATTTATAAAAAATGATTATTCCTATACAATTCTGCGTCCTTTTTTTGGGCTGGATGAGCCACTGTTGGCCTTAGGGGCCTTCACAGTTCCGACGGGCTTGAGCTGGCCTGGCGCACGGGGCGCCTAGCCTGAACCTCGGCGTAGTATTATTACGCGCTATGGTGACTAAGCTCGAGGGCTCCCGAGGGAGCCTCGGCTCGGGCCGTCACGCTATTATTATCACCGGTTTGGAAGGCTGCCAAGCTCTTAGGGAGCTTTGGCTGGCGCTCCATGCTGAGATCAGGCTCAAGGGGCCCCGAGACGGGACCTCGGCTTGGGCTGTCACTCAACACGCGTTTAGCATTCCGATTCGGGGTGCCCGAGAGGGCCGGAACTGGGCTCGATCGGTAGCTATTATCTGACTGGGGTAATATCTGACTCGGTTATTATCTGACTGGGGATTCTGCGTCTTGTACCCCGATCATAATCCTCATTTGATGATAAGCACCCGTTTGCCAAAGTTTAATTAATATATTATTAAATAGTTTGTTAATTACAAACTATTTAATAATTACCTGCACAAAGTTTAGAGAAACAAGCGAATATGAATTTATTGAATCGAGTGACACAGTTAGTAGTTACGAATGTACACTGTACAACCTTGTGTCCACTCACTATACAATGCGTACCAGCGTGCACACGCGGCCAATGACTCCAGCTGTTAATATTTGTAAACACATTATAAAAACGATTGTGCCGCCATTATAACGGCCAGATACAAGGCCGTCCTATCTTAACGATAACATAAAAACAATACACAAATTATAGTAGTCTCTGTTTCACAAATATATTTTCAAAAATGTTTGGAGTATATACATATCTGAACAAGCTGTCGCGTTCATAAACTAATAAAAGTTCATTAATTTTGGTCTCAAATTTAACAGACAAGTGAGCCAGATGTATGGATATCTGGATATATAGATATTATGGATATAGATATATAATCTTTCATTAATAGTATTCGAAGTTTTTTCATGTATATTACGATAGAGTTAGTACCACTTTCTTTTTAAATAATGTGATCAAAATCAGTATTACGCACTAGCCAGTAGCGACTACGTCTCTAAAATATGACTTTCTCAGCGACCAGATAAAGAACCGGTTGTCCTTGGGTTGTCCCTTACTTATACCATAAACCTTATGTCACGAATCACGTTCCAAAGCTGATTAAGTAGTGCGTCTCATTATTCAAAGGCGATAAATAATAACAGTTGTATAACGCACCTACGTTACGCAAGTATATTTATGGTGTGTTTTTATCTGTGGACTTTCTACGCCTCTGCGACGTAAATAACATGACATTTATTTATATTGTGAAATATAATTTAAAAATGGAAATCTTTCTAACTTATATGCGACATACCTATAAGTAAAATATATTTCTCGTCATTTTAAGTTATAGTTCCAATGAGATATTATCTATAATAATATCAACGCCTTTTTTTACTTATATGCAGGTTGTATACTTAATCATTTAATTTTCAAAGCAATATTTCAAATGTTTAATTTTCGAAAAAAATATTTTAACAATCTCAATTAAATTATATCGTTTGAAGGACGATTCAATCTGCCAACAATTACGATACCCTAAATACTTTATGCAGATCTTAGAATAGAACCCAAGAGATATCTTATACGTTTTTTATATTAAGTACCATTAATTTCAAAGAAAAAAACATAGTGGATCTTTTTTCGTGGTCGCTATCTTAAATTCCGTAAGCTTATAAACAAGATCCTTATTCAGAATTTATATTAGCAGTAAACAGCGACCAAGGGCGTGCGGTTAAATTATGAATATGTATTAATGTATGTGTAGCAATAGACGAACCTTTAAAGGCCATCAATTTCATAATAATACAATTAATATTTTAGATTCTGATGTATGATTCAAAGTAATAACTGCATCGTTATGGTAACGCGTATTAAATCTTTATTTTGTTTAGTGCAAAAAAAAAATTCCTCTAAATACGCCTCTCGCTGTATTGTTTTCATAAACGAAGAATAATTATTGAAGTACACAGGATCTAGTACGGGTAATGTAAATTTTTAATTTGGCTGGCTTAAACGCAAGAAATCTTTCCCTCTGATTCTATCTATAACTGGCTCCTCGCCTGTTCTGAGTCTTATAATCTCTTAATATAGGTAAAATCTACCCTGGCTCTACGGGTTCATAAAGTAAAGCATGCGAGCTTCCCGGTGCTTTGTTTATTAAATTAACAGTTAAATTCTGAATAGAAACTACGAAGACCTTTGTAGTTTATTGCCGGAAGCTGTCTTAACAATGTCAGTACGGAAGCAATTATTAATTGTTAGGTAATGATATCGTCACCACGGAGTGAAAAAAAATTATTTCATCTTAACCAATTTTTTTTTAACATAAAATATTTTCATACTTAGATTTTAAAATCTTTTCGTAACAAAACGTTAAAGTTCTTATTAGCTAATAAAGTTAGTCTTTATGTTATATAAGAATCACTTATTCAAATTTTTTACTATGCCTAAAACTATTTAACAAAAAATAAACTTACAACATGGAATTGTTGTTATCATTTCTAAATGGTTTAAATAAAATGACTCTTAGCATAACGGACACAAAGAGTCAAATCGTGAGACTGTTTTTCATGTGACCGGTACACAGAAGGGCTTGATAAAATGTTATCAGTAAAAAATACTATCGGTTTTTAGGGTTGGTGATATGCTGACATGAGCTCGTATTTTACGTTACATTACGTTTGATCTTACAGGTGTAATGTAAACAAGAGATTATCGAAAAACAACAATCTCAACGATTTTTTAAAGTAATGCATGAAATATTTTATTTTCATTAATTTTATTATATATTGTAGTATGCGTTTTTAATATTATTTCAAAACAAAAAGTCAAGAAAAGTTAATGTTGCTAACAATAAAATAAACTAGTTTCGTAATTAATGAAATTAGTTAATTGACTTTTATCGCCTCTCTTTTGTTATTATAATTACTGAACATTATTTGTTTGCTTGTTCGGGAATAGCATATCTATTTCTTCCTACGCAATGTGATTTTAAAGACGTGGAAGATTTATATTATGGTAGGATTTCTATGCCGTACTTCTTCAGTCATATCACGAATATCCAACTTTCAGTTACCAAAACTACTTATTTGAATTAAAACTATTTAGAATCAATGAACGATATGCTCTTTTTTTAATATTTACATTTTTTTTTATTCAGGAAATGAGTATATGTTATTGTTTTTACACTGACAGTGGTTGCTACTACAAGTAAGTATACTTAATTCCGGATTTCTATGGAAACATAGATAAAAAGAAAAAAATACAATCAATCTACAACAACAAAAATACCGCTAGACAATTATCATTATTAGTTATTGTAGGCACATAGATTAGACATTTAATTAACCGTTATATGAAAGAGAACACGATATAACTTCTTAGTTTGACCTTAGGGACTGGAAATAATCAGTAAAGCTAATCGCCCTGGCGCTCATGTGTTCATAGTATCCAAAAACCAAAAGTTACTTTGGACCTCGATGGCATCGCCAATGGCTTCAGAAGAGAAATAAGTCGTGTGAAACGAAGCGTGGACTCGTTACTAGTTGAGCATCGGTCATTATTAAAATACCAGATCATCTTCAGGTAGTGCTTGAAAGAATATAAATTATTAATTTGTCCAAAACCTATTATTAATCCAAATAACAACACATTCATTAACTTATTTTTTTATGTGTTAAAATCACGTTAAAGTCACATAATATACAATAGAATCTCGACCGGCTAAAACTAAACGCCTTCCCTGTCCCAATTACTTCTTTTTGCTAAAGGTTTTATCTCAATTTTTATTCATAAGTGTTAACTGGAAACGGAAGATATTAGACACGATTAATATCAATATTTATTACTATTCTTACATAAAACATATTGTTATTTCTTACAACGACGACGTAGTAAACTATAATTTTGTTGAAATTCCGCACAACTTAATTGAGTATTAGGATTTGGTATTCACATTTATGCATATTAAATTAAATATCGATATTGAACACTTACCTTTATCTGATTCTGAACAGTATTAGTCGAGAGAAGGGCTGCTGTCCTCTCTAGGCTTAGAGCGACCGATCGTAGTCCAAACCGTACGAACGAGACCGCCATTTTGTGAACACAACACAACACGTCCAATTTAAAAAGTGTCTATTTATTTTAAAAAAAAGCTTTTATTGTCTATAGAAGCACAAAAGTGCGCGCGGGAAAAGTTAACGACGCTCAAGCCCAACATTCACCGGACTGTTTGATAATTTGTTAACGCCTACGGTTTTATTTATCGGCCACAAGTAGAGGGGACTCCGATCGAACCGGTACATGTGCTTGTGTTTTTGTTTACTGCTGAGCTTCTCAAACGTTTTAAAAAGGGCTACACGATATTAGTAACGTTATTTTTGTTTAGTTCGGTTTTTTACAGAAGATTATATCTCCTTATACTAAATATGATACAGTTTTACTTACCAAAATTGAAATGCAAATCGTTTATTTTAGAAGGAAAATAACTATCAATCAGTTTAAAGTAATTTATGATTGTCACGTGTTTCCTTTTTTTATTTATTTATATAAGTGCCCTTCCGAATCGATCAAATTTAGAGATTAGTAAATAACATTGCGTGACTTTGTAAAGCGCATAATTTTCAATAAATAACGCGGCCCTTATGTTGAGAACCACTGGCCTGAACTATTGAATGCGTCGCATTTAATTTACGCACAACTTTCGCCTTTATACCAAGCGGGCGCTGAAAGTATAATCGTGTGTAGGAAATGATTTTTGTCATTTTAGAACTAGGTAAAGAATTCGAGGCCGGCTCTCCGTCGATAGCGTTGTTGACTTTGATTACGAAGGGTGTTTAGTCTATGGACGAATGCGGGCGGTCTCACGTAGACCATTCGGAATTATATTGCAATTTGGGCTAACGCGACATCGTATTGGCTCGATAATTAAATATTGTTATTGTATTGCCGATAACTGCCGTTTAATTTAAATATAGTTTTTCCTTATTTTTTTTACTTTGAACGTGATTTTGTTGTCCCGTCTTAAGTCACGATATGAGTGTGATGTAAGGAGTAGGTAATTAAGTGAGTTGTTTACTTATTTTTTCCTTACTTACATTATGATCATAATTGACAGATCTTGAATAAGTACGACTTATCAATTCAAAAGATACTCATAGGTAGACTATCATTTTAATGTAACGTCATCTTTGTGAAAATGATCCACATGGACAAATACTACCATTCTAATAGAGCTTCATAACTGAGTGACGTTCCAATCATTGGACATTTTTTTTTTGACACAAAGTTATATCAATCATGTATGTACATATAAAACTAGAACATTACTTTTATATTAATGTTTTATAGAACTTTATAAATCTTTGTGCTTAAGATGAAACATTAAAGTTTGTAGAAAAATGGACAAAAGTTTACGTCGCTGATTTTCGTGGGCGAGGCTATCAGCCGTTTGGCTAGTGGTTAAAGCTGTGGGTTCGATTCCCGCAGAGACGATAACTTTTTAGTCCGTTTTTTCTACGGTGTCGTCTAATCCCAGGCTTTGAATATCTTAAACTAAAATCGAGCTAGTTTAAACGATAACCAAGCCCATGTGAGATTAAATACCAGTACCTACAACATATAAAATACGAAGGAAAAGTAAAAACAAAAACATATGAAGTTCTCAATAAGAAAAAGTAGATCTAAATGCAATAACGCCTTAAGTTATACAGTATCCTCTGTTCATTAGATTGTATTTACCATGTTTGGGACACTAACGGGACAGTTTCTATATTGGCTGTAAAGGTCATTACAACAAAATGTGCGTACCAATTTTATCATCCTTCAAAATTATTTGACTAATGATGCTATTAAAATAAACCATAGCGCATTTTACAATTACCAATTTAAAAGTCGAATTTATCGACGTGCGTACGACCGCATAGCGAAATTAGCTGGTTGCAGTCACGTACGCATCTCAAACAGACGATTAGTTTAACAGTCCGTCATCAATCAGGCATACAATTGAATAAGCTACCCATCACTATCTGCGCCGACGAAAACAATTCTTAGATCTTAATAGCGCGGAGATGGTAAATTATTGAAACAAGTCGTTTTACGAAATGAGCAGTCAGATCTTGTAAGTTATGAAGTGTATGATATAAATATACCTAATATTATATGAATACTAGCTGTCCCGGCAAACGTTGTTTTGCCATATAAATTATTTGTAGGGTAGAAAAAAATGTTTTCAGTGGACCACCATTAACATTTCGGAGGACTTCATTTAGGAAATGAAAAATAGATGTCCGATTCTCCACCCTGGCCGCTATGCACACAAAATTTCACGAAAATCGGTCGAGCCGTTACGGAGGAGTTCAATTACAAACACCGTCAATTTTATATATTAGAATATCTAAATTACAATTTTCGCTCATGTACTTATGACTACTAAAATTTTAAAAAGGCTCAGTTAAAGTCGATAATATCATTTTTTTAGAAAGCCTGCCGTATAATTAATTGATAATAGTAATTCATGTAATTAAGTTACGTCTGTGACAAAGGAAATTTTTTGATACTTATATATGATTGAAATATGGAGGGTAGAATAATTATTATATTCTACATAATAATTATATTCTACCCTCCATAGATTGAAATTATAATGTTAACTAAATTACAATTTCATAAATTTCATTGAAATAATTAAGTACAACTTGCAGTGAAATTATTAGGGAAATTAAAAATCGCCCAATACACCTTATACGGAAAAAAAGACTTATAAATAATTAAAAAAGACATCTCGTCTTATACCTAACAGGTCAGACAGTGAGCGCTTTTTAAATGCGACAAAAAAAACATATTTAAAATATAACCGCCATAACGCGCGTTTCTATCAGGGTTCTATTCCGCCAACGGAGCCTAATAAAATTCAAATTTGCTGGTGAATGAGCAATGTATTTCGTCTTTAGGGCCGAAGATGTCGCTGAAACCTCTGAGGTTCTGCCAAGTGCCAAATTCATACGCCGTAGCGACGCGTATAACCTCTTCCAGAATCCAAATTCAAAACCTTTATTTTAACATCTTTTAGTTGTTAACTTAAAAAACAAATGGTTCTTATAAAGCTTTCACTGTGGTCTAAACCTCTAACAAATATTATCCAATCGAATATTTTAATAAGAATAAGTACTAATTATACTAATATTAATCAAGAATATGATACCTTCAATTATTTACGTTACCGTGACAAATAGTTCGTGGGGCCTTTGGGTTCCCTGTGCAGGCAAAGTCGACGTTTTAAATATACATAGCTACATATGGATCAGAAGTATATTTGGAATCAGACAACTATCAATATGCAAGTATTTGTCAGTACCAGGAGCACAACGATTGTACGATATGCTAAATTATCTAAGTATGTTATGATATGCTAAAAACTCCCCAGAGCAGCCGTAGGACTATATTGTGTAAAGTAAAACTTTTGTACTTAATTGTTTTCAGATCACTTATAGAATAGTTAAGGAAACATCTTTCTATTTTTTTAACAACAGCCTATACACTAAAACTGATACTTAGACACCTTTTATCACCATAGATAGTTTGTGATAACATCCGCATTCACATAACTTCGAAACGTTTCTTTGTATACTCACGTTTTCTTATGTCAGTGAAAATTATCTAAATTAAAAAAATACGTTTAATACAGAACATTTTATAATTTTCTCTTCATTATTTCAACATTCATTCTTCAGTATCCCAACTTTACAACATTCACCCTACAGTCTTCTAAATAAAAAAAATTTTTTTTTACTCTTCAGAATTACGACATTTTGCTCTTCATTTTTCAGCATTCCAACATTTGACTATTCAATCTTTAGTTTTCTAACATTCTTCCTTCGGTCTTCCAAATTCTGATTTATCAAGTGCTTAACAGTAAAAGAGACGGTCTCTTCTCAACAGAAACCGCTTTCCGAATCAGTGGTAATATATAACTTACAAACTTTGTATCAATTTTTATGTATAATTTGACGTTTCATAAGAACGCGCAAGCGTCTATTTGAATACTTAAATATATTTTGCGTTTCAGTAAGGAAACTTATTTTCGAAATATTAATAAAAAAAAATATTTGAATGTATGTGAAGTCTGCCAATTCGTGGTGAAGTATGAAGTACGTGGCCTATGTACAGAGGCTATTGCCCAGCACTGGGACATACAGTGTGCGGTTGCAGTTGGATTTAATCCATATCAAAAATGAAAACACCATGTTTGACCAATACTTTAAAACCTCTTGATTAAATTTAACAAGACTTTTTTTAATTAATTCGACTTTCGTTTACTGTAACCGACATCGGCTCAATTCTTGTGATAATAAAGGATGGAGCCAATACGAAAAGAAATATCTTTCATATCTGAACTGAGCAGGTCAAATCGAAAATGTCCCTACCAACTTACCTACCAAGAAACTTACGAAAGCGAATTTACTATAAATACATTAATTTAAAAAATTGAGAAAAACTTCTTTTATTTAAAGCTAATAAAACAATTCTCCAGATTTTATGGCCCACATTGTAGTCTGCAGCAGTAGAGTTCGAGATAACGGGAATTAAAAACCAAAATTAAACGCGATAGTGAAAAATGTATTTACATTGCAATTTCTCAATACAAGTTCAAAGTTAATAACATTGGAATGAACATAAATAATTAATATTCTATGATCTGGAATATGAGGTATTTTGAAATAAACATAGCAGAATCTTTCTAAACAATTTTTAATATAAAATTACTTTTCTCACATAATTACAAAACCTTAATACAAAAGTGTAATGACAGCATGTCTACTTTAATTATTCTGTTCAACAGACATTAAATGTGCTGTACCATTTCGGTTTATTTCTCCATCTTTCCACTAGCTATTGGATGAAATTAAATTCATAATTACATAAAATATTTTATAAACCTTATTACGTAATAGATCTATGCATGAACATTGTCTTTACTACTATGCCTTTTTATATTCGATTCTCTCAACTTTGACCTCATCGCCCAAAAGCTTATATACATATGTTACAACTGTTGCACTCTGGATGTCCATCAATACAAAGGATGGTGTTGGATTTCTGAAAAATATACATGAAATATTTAAAATTTTTATACAATACTAGATGTAAAAAAAAATTGTTGTTGAAGTCATGGAACATATATTTGTAGGTAGGTCGAGTTGCAACATCATCTGGATTTTTCTTAAATAGTAGAAACACTGCCTTTATTTTATTCATTATTAAATTTGACTCTTCCATGCTCTTCACCAGAATTTCAACTCGGGATCTTCAACGCGAGGTTCTGCCTCCCACTTTTTATGTTCACTCTAGGTGTAGGGACCACATGGAGACGGGGTGCTGTGTTGGATTTTTGTGATTTTACTTTATAGTTCTCTATTATTTAATTTTATTTTTTGTTTGCTATATCAATGTAGCTACTACTTAGCAACTGCTAAAACTTTACCCAAATTGTTTAAGCCAAACAAAAATGAGTTATACCTGAAAAGTGGACTGTAGGCTCCAGTTGCTGAACCGGGATTGATATAAAACTTGTTCTCATGCTCATAAGCCTCAAATCGATGTGTGTGCCCCGAGATCAAGATGTCCACATCAAGTTGTCTCTGCACTAGCGCCAGTGACTCTTCGTCTCCCCATGGTACAACTTGGTGCCCATGAATTAAACCAATGCGGAACTGACCCACTGTAATCACTTTCTGTTCTGGATATGTAGAGTTCTGAAATATTCATTTAAATTTTTATTAATGACATTTCTATCCAAAAACAAATTAAGAAATAAACACACAGGGGCCTAAAGAGCTGTGGGTCATATAAATATACAAAAATTGTTGATAATATTCAATATATTAAATGGGTGCTAGTGATAGGTGTCACTTAATATGTTAAGTAACAACATACCACACCCCAACTTCAAAGAATGAAATAATCTAAGTTGTATTAAAACTAGTAGAAAAAGTACGAAAAGATTGTCGCCGCTGTGGGAATCGAACCCATGTCTTCGGCATTCGCGGCCTGACGCTTTAGCCACTAAGCTAAACAGCTGATTACCACACCGACGAAAATCTTAACGTCTTTTATCTACATTGCTTTTTTAGCATCTATTGTTACATCCTTTCCAGCATACAACAATTTCGAATATCGTTTTACAACAATAACTCGAACGAGAGGTGCGTACTTTTTCTACAAGTTTCAATGTTTAATCTTAAGTGCAGAGATTAGCACTATAAAAAATTTTAAATAATCTAAGTTGTGCTTAAATAATGATTTAATAATACTGATTTCCATATCACAATTAAGGGAGTAAAATGGCCATTTGTATTATTTCATTTTAGTGTAAACTATCAAATATATTGAGACTAAGACTTATTTTTTTCTCAGAATTACATAGTTAATTATCAATGATAAAATTTACAGAGTTAATCAGTTATCTTAAAGGTTACCCATCACACACAATAAATAGTCTTTATCTTATTTTAATATTATAGAAAAAAAAAACTGTGCTATTAAATTATATTATGAAACTTTAAACTTTAGAAAAACGTTTAGACAAATTTTATCATGTTTATTTTTTTTTTAAGAAAATACTATTTTTTACACAGCAAGTTCTTTCAATAAAATAAAAGTTTAAAAGAGATTGGCTTTGTAAACTGGCAATCATATTAATTTATTACTCTTTTATTTAGTAGGACCTGCAACATCTCTGGTCTTATAAATTTTTATTGAAATACTTACCTGATCCACTTTTTGTTCAAAAAATGTATACTGTGACAGAAAGACATTTTTTACAGTGAAAAATGTTACCTCATCAAAATCTCCTCTTACTACGTGCACATCACTGGCTAATGTCTTCAGGTAGTCATAGGACTCTTTGGTGCAAAGATTCCCTGTGCACAATATGTGCTGGATGCGGCCAGGTAGCAGCAACTTTTTAAATTTAGGGGGCAAACTGCTACATCTATGTGGAATGTGCAAGTCCCCAAGTACCAGGACCAACTGCAAAATATGATGAATATCATCGAGTAGCTATCTTCCTGGCCTTATCCCATCTAGTTGGTGACGGAACAACATAGGAATTGAATCCGAAACACTCAGACTTCAAAGTTAATAGATCTGGTTTTACTGTAATACTAAAATTTCTATTTCTTTTATTTTTGTTAAATTTAGTAGTTTGTTGTGTGTGCGTCCTTTTTCTGGTAAATAAATTTATTTTCTTTTTTCCTTTCTTGGGCCACTGCACCACCAAGTAGCTATTGTGATGTTAAATATCAGTGCATCTGTTTAAATCAAATAATGCAACAAATTGACACACTGAAGACCAGTATACAAACTATATATTTTCTTTGAATAATGGGTTAGGAGATTTTAAGTACTTATTTATAAGTTTCTAATCGAAATATAAATATTACTTAATTTAGGTTTTATCAATGTTTGTTATATTTCTAACGAACAATCCATTATAAATAGATAAATTTGAAATAAATTAATGTAATCTTATTGACTATATAAATGGTTAACGAGTTTTAACAGCGAAGGACAGGATTTATTTTCAAGTTGCATTACTTTTCTTAAATTTTGGTTTTTTCCTTAATAAAACAACTTTATATACTATGTATAATTAATAAAATACGGTATTATAAGTTAATTTTTTATGAAAGAAAAAGAATGAAAGCAAATAAATTAATGATAGGTATCCGGTATGTACAGCTGTTATTTATAATGAATTATTAAAATTTCTTACCATTGCGCCTTATAAACAACTTATTCGTCTTCTCAAATAATAAATATAAAAAGTGTATGTATAAAAATACTGATAAATTATCCTTTTTGTTTATAAAGATAATATTGCTTCCTCCCACTATTTCAATAATGTACAATAGGGATGCCGAAAAATATCGATATTTGTTATTCATTATATCGATATTTTAGCCGATACATTTTGATTCAATATATAAAATATTCAATATCGAAATCGTATCAAAAACTATATTTTTTTCAAGGACAGAGTCCGCATATCCAAATATTTAATACTTGGCATACTTTTTTTTGAAGTGAAACTTCTAATGCGACTTCCAACAAGTTTGCGTTAAACTTTTAACGCTACCATGGAGGGGGTATGAAAGCACTGTTGCGTTAAACGTTCAATGCCAGAGAGGGGGAATAGAAAGAGACAGAGTGAGAGTGAATACGTGGCAAGTTTCACTTCCTCCTCGCGGAGGGACTCCATTCACTATTATATTTTCTAGACGACAGGGCCTTAAAGGAAAATATCGATATTCCGATATTTATTTATTTTCTTTTTAGTATATCGAGGCTGATATTGATATTTTGATAAATATCGATATATCGATATATTTCTTCACTTTTGTCATCCCTAATGTACAGTACAGGTACTACATGTACACACACGGGCACAAAATATTAATTAAAATGTGGGTGGAAACGAATAATCACAGACCAAAAAAATTGGAGTTAACGTGAACAATGAACAAAGTTGAAGAACTTAGTTAGAAAACGTTTATTAAATTTTATTATTGAATTGTTATTTATATGCTTTCACAAGCTTAAAATTATTATCAGAGCAAAGAAAATATTCTTTTCCTTTGCACAAAATACATTACGGGTAATAGCGAAACTTATGTTAGCAACATTTCATCACGTCACTTTCCTCTGTACTCTATTCTCTGTGAGTGGGCTTAGAATTGGAGAATTTCATGGTGTTGTGGGTGACACATATACGTAGAAAAAATCTAGTGTAAGAACACCATATTGGCACCAACTGCTAGGAAATGGAATCAATGGAATATGAGCTCGCTAGAAACCTCACTCTGTTATTCTTCGTGGAACGCCTGCTCGACAAAGGCGAGCCGAGAACGTTGCACGATCTTTCCTGCCAGTTTGGTGCCAAAGGATTCACTAAGGAGATGCGCCAGATCGCTGGCGGGTCGCAGTCGGGCTTGAAGAAGTTCCTGGCTCAGTACCCGGCGTTGTTCAGCATAGACGGGGACTATGTTGATATCAACACGTTCCAGAGGCACCCGAGTGGCGGTGGCGCGTCATCCAACAATGACTACATCGAAGAAGCAAAAGAATATTTCGCCAGCAAGATGATCCAGTACGGTGAAGGTACGGAGGTGCCTATTAAAAGCCTCTTAGGCCATCGCAGCCAAGCATCACCTCAGGTACGTCATATCTCCGGTCAGCGTATTAAGGAGTTTAAGGATTTTCTCTTGAAACATCCTGATACGTTCCAGATCATTGATGATAATGTCGTTCTAGTCAGTGAGAATCATAGGAGAGGTAACACTTGTAGTAATTCTGAACAATTTCACAATTTGCCTGTAGCTAATATTAATACAGACACAGCACAGCAACTATTAGATTATGTTGCTCAGTGCATAGAGGCTAAGGGTCCTGTAATGGTAGATCAGCTATTCCACTTGATTGTGGGTCGCTTTCCTCAAGAGTACTGGTACCAAATGTTCAAAACACCTGCAGACTTGAGCGCATTCCTTAAAATATTCTCTGACAGTTTCCATGTCCAATCAAACCTTGTCACACTAATTAGTAAACCAAAAATACCTGTCATGTATCTCAATGCGAAATCAAAAGCAAAGACTGATCCACCAAAGCCAATTGTTGAAGAAAAACCACTCTCCCCAGCTCCACCAACAGTTGCGAGTCCTACTCCATCAGATGGCAAAAGGAGCCCTGCCAATAGAATACTCAGTCCTATAGAATCTCCCCGTGGTCCTCAAGCTAACATTGCTAACCAGACTCTGAAACAGCGGATCAATTCTATTGTCATAAAAAACTTGGCTGAGAATATGGTCAGGGATAGGGTGAACAACACCTAAACACCCGCAGCTCAGAGGAGACCAATGGTACTTCTGTCAGAAACAGCATGGCAGGAGAAGCCTGGAGACAGAAAGTTCTTCAAAGTGCAACAGTCATAGCCAATGTTAGGGAGTGTGCCACACTCATTGATAGTATAATAAACCCCAAGCGCAACTCAAAGAGCATTGTTTCCTTCGATTGTGAGGGCATTAACCTCGGCATTAAGGGTGTATTGACTCTGTGTCAAATTGCAACTATGAATGGTGAAGTGTATATATTAGATATAATGACCTGCCCTGGCATGATAGTAGAAGGCAAAATAAAGGAGCTATTGGAGAGTGAGACTGTTATTAAGATTATACATGACTGCCGGAATGACTCAGTCAATTTACACAATCAGTTTGAAATAACATTGAAGAATGTTTTTGACACTCAGGCAGCCCACGCTGTTTTGCAATTACAACAACAGGGTGTCCCAGTTTATAAAGTGAAAAATCTCAGTCTTAATGCACTCTGTGAATTGTATAATGCTCCAATGAATCCCATGAAGGAGCAACTAAAGAATGTGTACCGTAGAGACCAACGCTACTGGGCAAGGCGACCTTTAACAAAGGACATGATAATATATTCTGCCTCAGATGTTTTGTCGTTAGTTAATCCAGCAATATATGCCTACATGTCAGCTAACATAAGGCCAGAAAATCAGCAACTTTTTGAGGAGCTAAGCAATGAACAAGTATTAATGCACATACAGCCAACTGAGGTTAAATTGAGGAAACGTCAAAGGAAAATTAACACGGAGGTTGGTGAACTGAAACTGAAACTTGCAGAGTCAACAAAAAATATAGTTTTAAGCAACAGAGAAATAAGATTGCTGAGATATTTAGAGCTCACAGAAGAAGAGAAAGAAAAGCTTAAGGGCTGTCACAAAATATCCAAGAAATTGGAGAAACTGGAGGCTATAGGCCAAGAAAAAGACAGCGACTCTGAGGATGATGAACGAGAGAATGAGATGGCCAGCTTGGAATCCAACCCATCAGATTCGATATCTTCACCACATTCAACACAACCGCCTAGCCTCACTGAGTCGATGCAAATGATGGACGAGATTTTGTCGGACACAAATATGGATAAAGTTGAGAAAATAAACCGTTTGGAGGCAATCCTCTCAGCCGTAGCACCACTCAGCGGAGAGTTAGAGGACAAGTTCTCACAAACAATGGAACAGACCCTGCCGTTACTGAAGAATAAGGATTGGTCAAACCTGAGCCAAATTCTTAACATAGGTGATGGGGACAGAAAGAGCTGTTCTTGCAGATGCCATAACTCAACCTTTGAAGATGCAAAGTGCAATGATCTCAATGAAACTAAGAAGGCTGAGGTAGGCTCACAGACCCTCAGCACAGGCGACATTGTGATAACACGTATCCACTTCAGGGAGGAGGACAAGTTAAATGAGAGGTTTCTTGATGCGACACCTTTTAGCAAACGGGTAGGCATAAATAACATGTCGTGATGACGTGCCACAGTATAGTTTCGAAAATCTTTCTGTATGTGATTATATTTTTTATTTATAATTTTTTTTTTTACTTAAAGGAAATCTTTAAACTTGAATTCCCCCTAGTCTAGTTTATAGGGAAGGAATGATAGTGGTGTGTTAAAGAATAAATTAAGTTAATTACGAACTTGTGCATTATCAAGTTTATTGGCGTTCAGGGTTGACAACAATTTCTCATTAATCGAAAATGTTTTTGTTCAATCAAAATTTCTTACGTATTTTCACTTTTATCCAACAATTTAGTAACTGTTTGTGAATAAACAGAGAAACATGAACTTCTAGTATGAATATATAAATGCTACAACTGTACAGTATTTTGAAACTCATGTAGATAATATCAATGGAAAAGTTTTATTTAATATTATATAATCGTTGGAAGGCAACCCTGCTTTGCTATATGTTCATTTGAGCGAAGACATGCGTGCACACTTGAATAAATGCAACGGTGAATCGCATAATAGAACGGCTACTTAACGTCCGTCATCTGGAAAAAGAACAGTATACGCTATAGGTTTTTTTTTTAATTTATACTTTAATTTATTATAATATTATAGGCTATTGCCTTAAAGAAACTTGATGTATATGTGATAGATTAAACGGCCTTGGTTTTTTCTCTCGTTTTACGGAGTGTAAATAAGATAAATCTGAATTTCTGAACATGTAATCATTGTCGACGCAATCAATGATCGAGTGTTCAAGATAGGTAAACGAAATGAAATATATCTACATATCTGTCTATATCAATTTTTGTTTGTAGCTCCCACGGCTGCGCTACAAAAGTCTTTACCGAAAATTGCAATAATAGGTTTACACTAAGGTTCTATTGTTCAAATATTTAACTGATTATTGTTTAAACTTATACTAGTATTGTAATCGAATTAAAAAATGTGTAGGGTAGGCTTTTCGTATGAGATCATATGGTGGTGCTTGGAGAGAGAATAACTCTATAACATCTTTGTACAGAGTTGTGATGAAATACCTTCTGTTTAGCGTTTCTTTTTTACGGTCTTTGGGGTCTATTGTTTTATGAAATATTTTTATGCCTTCGAGGCATATCCGACGATCGCCTTTCGAGAGTGAACATGTTAAACATTTATACGTATTTAAGTGACTATTTAACTTGAAATTATTAATTTACTTAACAACAACTTACTCGTTTTGTAGGACGTCTACAGTGGCTCCATTTAAACAGTGTAGGTAATATCTAAACGTGTTAAATTCTTTCGAATAGTTTATTGTGGTGTTACAAGTAAAAATATGTTAATATACTAATGTGATACGTTAAATTACGCTTCTCGATCTAGTGTTAGCTACGTTTGATTGCCCGTCTAGATTTATATGTATTACTTATCAGTATTGTTTCCATCCAAAATGTTTTTGTATTTCCCAACGCGTGTAAATACCAAGTAGTATTCGCCTCGTATCTCTGTTTAATTTATATTAACACTACCTTTGTACTAAATATGTATTCGAATAATGTAGGAGTTGATGTGTACCACTAATGTCCTAACGTATACATTTTGTGCCTTATACACTGCACAATTTATAGCTAAATGTAGTGTATACATTTTTGTATGGTTACGGTGTCCAGTGCCACATGTTCTTATTTAAAATTTAGTAGGAACATTTCCATAGGCAATATTTGCTTCGTTATATTTAATCTGTTTACTTTAACGCATCGATTTTCGCGGTAAAGTTATTCTAACTACGAGAGGAATTGTTGCTTACATTTGTCATTATATTTAAGATGTGGCAAATTGACCGTTTATTAATTTGCACATTGTTTATGTTTATTATGAATAAAAAGTTTTAAAGTATTTCTGTTTTGTATCATTTCGTTCACATTTATTACTTACCCATTTTTTCATAAAAATAATAATTATTATTCATTAGCAAAACATAAGTACACACTTGATACGATGTTAAATACTATCTATATTGCTGTACTGTACTCATATTACATTATATTATGCAAATAATACATCATCGTTAATAATAACCTCAAAAATTAAATATAGTAAAATAAGGTAGCTGGAAACGGTTATAAGCTATTATAACATTTTTGTTTTAACGTTATTACCAATATTTTGAAAATCGCTTATAACAGAAATAATCTTTGTTTTTTTTTTATTTTGAAAATAAAAGTTTATAAATACTTTTAATGAACTCAGTGTCTCCGAATAACTTATTGAAATGAATATTTAATATCTACTAGCGACCCCTACTCGTACGGGTGCAATGTATTATTATACATAATTATAAACCTTCCTCTTGAATCACTCTATCTAAAAAAAACGTTTCAAGATCCGTTGCGTAGTTTTAAAGATCTAAGCATACATAGGGACAGACAGACAGCGGGACGACTTTGTTTTATACTATGTAGTGATATTGTGACAAATGTCCGTGTTTTAATCAATGTCCTGTTTAACCAAAGTTTTTTTTTGTCAATGAAAGGTTTTTTCCAAGCACGTGGTAGGGCCACGCGGCAGCGTCTGTTGCACTAATAGGCAAGCTCCTCGGGAAAATCCTCAGACGACACACGGGCATGAAGTGGGAATATTGCACTGTCGCGTTCCTGCTGGTGAGTGGAGATACTATGGCTACTTTTAAAGCTTGGTAACGCAACGTAATCAGTTATTATCAGGTGAACCACCTGCTCGCTTTTCCACTTTTCACAAAAAAAACCGGGGTAGTGCGAGCCGGACTCGCGCACGAAGTGTTCCGTAGCATTATAAAAATGGCATTAAAATCATGTCTGTTGTATGTGAGCCCGCCCTACTTAAAATACAAAAAAATAGAATATCAAAATATTTACGTTATAGCGGCAACAGAAATACATCATCTGTGAAAATTTCAAATGTCTAACAATCACGGTTCATGAGATACAGCCTGGTAACAGACGGACAAAAGACAGACAGCGGAGTCTTAGTAATAGGGTGCCGTTTTACCCTTTCGTTATGGAACCCTAAAAATAAGGTCAAAACTCACTCCGGTTCCCAAAACATAGACTTGTCTATAGCAGAACCGGCAGGAACCTTTACAGCCAAATATCTACTTATGATTTTTTTTTTTGTGAACACGTTAAATGATGTTTAGAAATATTTCAAGATGTTAGTCATGCATAGATTATTTAACAGAATAATGGACACGGTCATTTAAGATTGCCTTAAATATCATCCTACAGTTATGTTCATTCAGTTATTTTTGTCTATCCTTTATTTTATTCATACATTTTCATCATAATTATATTCATTGTGCATGTCGATTCATGTGAGGCTTATTGTTTTTGGCCAGTTTGAAACTGGGCACCTTTCCACGTTCAGTCTACGGAACTACTATTTTCGGGGTACATTTTTATATAATGATATTTTCAAATATGTATTGCGATGCTAAGCTTAGCGACTTCATGGAACTAGGTTGTAACTGCCCGAACAGTTATCTCTTTGATTATATACTTGTCTACTGTTGATTATATACTTTATAAGTATATAATCAAAAGGTTTTCTTAAATTTTGTTCCAGTACTAGCTACAGAACCCCATGGCAATACTCATAATGCATGAAGGTGGGGAAGTACCAAAAACATATTTAGCGGATGTCTCATCAGTTAATTGTCGAATCTGAGTACAGAAAAGATTGTTGAGCCTAACTTTATTAATATGTTCTCAGTATGAGATCCACGTTGTAACCTAGTATCAATAGAGATTAAATTAGACAAAACAATACTTTGGTACTAGCTTGGTTAGAAAATTCAACTCTGAAAAGGACAAGTTGAGCGCTAAGTTTTTAGGTTATCTAACACAAATACGCTTAATGATTTTTTCGAAAATCCGCAAAACTATTTCCTTTACGCAAATCGAACTAAAATGTTTTATCTCAGCGTAATTAATTTTTCCTTCCCAGATCTTGAATGTAGGGTGTCATAGTTACGATATTACTAAGCCAATTATATCGTATGCCCCAGCGCACTGAGCCTCGAGTCAAGAGGCTTTGTGTAATATTAATTCGCTATTACTTTACATAACGCTAGCCTTCGTGAAGATAAAGTGAAGAACTCTCAAAGACAAGTTTTTAATCTCTTTTATCTACACACGGTCTATCAGAAGATGTGGTTTGGGTGAATCATCACAAAATTAAATTCGTTACAGCAATCGTTCTGACTGGTGGGGTCATTATCATCAACTAATTAGTTAGTTGATACTCATTCATAAATGAAATGGTAATCCAATCCAGAAGCAGTTAATGAAAGAGATTTTCTCCTGACGTTAAGTGTTTACCTCCGCTCACGGACAACTACAACACCTGAGGGGATCTACTTGCATTACCAACATTCATAGAAGTACGTCCTGGTGATCGCACTCAATAGACGAATCGCGAAAATGTAACACTTCCATTTCACGCTTGTCTTCTGTGAGACCGTGGAACCTCCCCGGATGAGCCTGCCCATTCCTGCAAGGTAAGCGTAAGGTACGTGGCCCAACAATAGGAAATTCTTTTATTTCCACATTTAATTATAAATAAAAGAATACAGGGTAACACGGGCAGAGAAAAAATATTTTAGCGCTGACGTATGGCAAATATGATGTTTTAATAAAGATGACACATGTCCATATTGCGCGGCGTTTTAAAATTGTTCCGCTTTAAATTATATGACACTAGAGACCCGCCCTGGCTTTGCGCAGATGCAATATATTTGACATATAAACCTTCCTCTTGAATCACTCTATCTAGTAAAAGAAACCGCATCAAGATCCGTTGCTTAGTTTTAAAGATCTAAGGATGGATACATAGGGACAGACAGACCGAGCTACTTTGTTTTATACTATGTACTGATATATAAGTGGATGTGACAGATGATATAGAACGTATGAAACGGAAAGAAATAGCAGTCTATACAACTGGAATTTACCTATACAAATTGGCGTAATTTGAGCGTCTCAGGTGCTCTAGTCTAGT